TTTTATGTGTAGTATTAACTTCGATTTGTTGGACAGATATGCATCGGACATTATATCATATACAGTATATAGCTACAACTATAATAGCTTAGAAAATCCAAACAATGATTTTCATCGTTTAGGAAAAAGAGCTTTAAAATTAGGCAGAATAAATATGCTAATGTCTATTTTTTGGCATTCTATCCCAAGGAAGTTAGAAACTTCTTATTCATTTGAAATTCAAGACATTATTAACCTCGCTCACTAGGTGCGTAATATACTATTACACATAAGAATGTTGACAGTGAGACAAAATCAGTGAACATGTATTTTCTTATCTGAATAGATTTGTGATTCTAACTGAATGTTTCAATTTCTATCATAAGTAAACAATTTTTAATAATTAATTATTTACTTTATTCGTGTCCGATGGATTGATCATAACAATTATAGTACTACAAAAAAATTGTCATGATACCTCTCCATCAAAAAATCATACACTGAGAGAAAAATATAATGAAAATTACTGTGCTAGAATGGTAATCTGGTACTGTCTGGTCGTCTAGAGACTTTTTTCTATTGAAACAGTAATTTTTTTTGTAAGTATAGGGATTTTTACTGCTTTTACAATAGAAATTACTGGCCTCAATGGGTAAAAATTAGGTTGGCCAAAGTAAAAAGTCCTTAGACGCTGGAATGACACTAGATAACCATTCCAGCACAATAATTGTTATTATATTTTTCTCTCAGTGTAGGACTAAGACGTCTCTTGCACGGATCATCAACATCCAAGCGCGCCCAAGTGCGTAATATATATGCAAACTAAGAGTGATGGAGCATGAAAATAAAGAAGGGAGCGTATGTGCAGCCGCTCTACTACACGAAGACGCGTGAGGGACGATTGCCCGTGAAATGACCGCCGGCGTCTCAAGTTTCCCTTTCTCTCTAGACCAGCTTTAAAGCACATCGAGAGACTCATTTTTGCGCTTCGCGTGTGTCTTTACAGTTGAATCCGCTGCGGGTACGTCGTAAGAGGTACCCAGGCACTCAGGACGAGAGCAAGCAAGCGAGTATAAATGTGTGGTCTAGGGAGAAAAAAAAGCCAAAAACGACGCATGTGCAGCTTCTACTCGCTTTATAGTTGGACGTCAGGGTACCATGCGGGTTGTACATCCACTGTACCTTGAGAGATGTAACGACAGCAGGGATGCTCCTCATAAGATCCAGAAGCGTCGGCGCGGGGAGGTTACTTTCGATCATGAAGAAGTTGAATGCACTTGTTTAAGGAAGAGACGGCACTGGGAATTTTTTTTTAGAAATTCCAAATTTCATTCCACGAGTTCGGCATAGTAGCAGCAGCAGCCGAGAAGACAGTGCAGCGTCGTAGCGGTGCCCGATATTTCGCGCGTGAAGAACTTCCGAGCACTTTGGAAAGTCGTAAAGTCGCAAAAGGGAACTCATTTGGGGGAGTTAACCGTAGCGCTGTGCAGCTCGAGCTGCTCGATACGAACGAGATTTTTTTCAACTTTCAAACTAAGTTTGGGAATTTTTTTTTCCCTCCTGCACCAGAGATGTATAAAATTTACATTGCGCCCATTGGCGAGGAACAAGCTAGGCTTCGCGAAATATTGTCTTAATTCATAGGTCACATTGATTGTCAAGATGTGGCAGTAGTTTTACGCACCGTGATGGATTTCAAACTTCTCAAGAGTATTAAATTTATTGAAACCTTGAAAGAAGAACGGAATGACCGACTTGGCGATACAAAACGTATCCATTTAAGTAGTTCTTAAGGTGTTAAAAACGACAACTTGGATGATTTAACTTTTTTTATATTGGGAATCAGAATTATTCCAGTCGAGGATGTAACTTAATTTGGTTGACCTCTTGAAAATACTGAAACTCTACATTTTCATGAATTACCGAGGTAAAATTAAATGAAAACAGAACTAAAAGACTCTCTAGATGAGCGGCTAATGAATAAATAATAAATAAATACAGCAATTATACGAACTCGATCGGCTTTCGCACTAGGGGCAAACGCCAAAATCGCGAGCTAGTTAATTCGAATTTATGGCCGCGCAATCGTCCTTTCGCGGCCAATCCATAATGAGAGTTAATGGCCCACTGATGAACTACTCTTTCTGTTCCACCATCATCCGCGATCGACCCAGATTTTCATCGACCCCTATTACATTATCCCCCCGGTTTTTACCACAAAACCCGATGAACCCAACCACGAGAAGCCTAAAAGGATCACATGAGTTTCCAAAAAGCCGAGAATAAAATTAAATAAGCCATCGATCAAAGGAAAGTCGATTGGCATCGAGCTAACCACTTTTATGCACCGCGGCGAAAGCGAGCCGATTTTCAGCAGTTTTATTCGAAGCCCGAAAAAAGACCAAAAAGAGCTTGCACAGACCAATGCCGTTTATTTCGAGGTAATTACGCAAAGCACCCTTTACTTGCGAGTATTCCTGGTACTTGCTTACGCATCCTCTGAATTAAAATTAGTTTGTATGTATACACAGGAACCGTGCAATCTCGCTTAATGGCAAAAAAAAAGATGCGCTCGACTCGAGTCAGCAGAAAACAATAATAACGGGATTAACAGAGAAGTTTTGGGATTTCGTAGGAGGAAAAGATAAGCGCACAACTGTTTTGACATCGTGATTTGTCGGCACATTGATTTCTTGTACCATAAAAAAGTACCATCAGTGCGATTCTGCCGAAGCCATTATGGTAATTAGTGGATAAATCGATGTCGTGAGGCAATAAATTGGTAATAAACAAATAGCCATTCTGAGTGACAAAGCAGCAAGAAAGAGACGTCGAGAGAGAAAGGAAGCTGTCGGAGTGCTCGAGGAGGAGAAGCCAAGGGACGTTGCTTCGTGGAATAGACGAGCATGTCCTCCTCGTCCGGCTTTTCCTCGGAAGAAGAGGGAGACGGAGAAAAAGCAGTTGGCCGCGGGGTCGTCGCAGTCATCGGTATAGGAGGAAAAAACCGCTAATGGCGTTGGGGAGGAGGACGTTGACGAGGATGAGGATTTTTGTCGTTACGCTCGGGGTTTTTTTTTTTTTTTTTTTCGTTTTTCATCCACGTTGGTGATGACGGTGGCATGGAAGCAGTCGGTGTGCCGCGGGAGTGAATGTGCACGGGAGGAGGGAGAGAAACGCAGCGCGATTTCTCTCAGGGAAAGAGGGGACATAAAAACTGCCACGAGAGGAAGTACCACGAAGGTAAACATGCGGAGTGAATGGAAAGTATGGAGGAAAAGAGTGGCCCTGGGCTGCGAAGGAAGGGACAAGAAAGACGACTCTTGCTCGGATGGGGGAAAAATAATAGGAAAAATGGACGAAAGGGAAATGGCAAAGTTCAATAGCCGGCTGTCCGTTTCCACTTCGACTGATTGCTGCCGCGTAAGTGTGCTTATATACTTGCTCGGTGCGCCACAGGCCTTTCTCACGTGTAAGTCTGCGTGTGCTACTTGCTGCTGCTGATGATGATGGTGATCATCGTCAGCGTGGATTGGTAGAGAGGGAACGTATATTTACATTATTTTCAATCTATACTCATTTCGATGCCTGATTCTCGTAATCAACTAATGCGCTCCGTATGATTGGGTGTTCGTTGCTATTATACCTGCACGTGCAGTCGTGTCATCATTATTTGCTGGTAAATATTTTAAGAGAAAACAGGATGCGCACGACGGTGGGAAAACTTTAATCGAATATGGGTTTTTTTTCTTCTTACTTTCTTTTCGCAAACATAAATACAGCTCGTGAGATTGGGTGATGATACATCTTGTGGAAATATATCACGAAAATGTCGTAATCCATTTAAATTCGAATAGGCTCTGCCGATGATAATGACAACGACGAAAAATTCGTTTTGAATTTTCCAACTTTGACGCTGGGTGTCATACAAAAAATGCACGGTTCGTGGACGCGCACTTATATATACACACACACTTGTAAACATACATAACATACAAAGCAGCATTTTCGAATTCGTTTGTTCTTGTTGAAAAATTTCCTATGAAGGGGACTCTCTCTTTGGAGTTTCTTCCTTTGAGCTACAAAAATCAACTTTGTTTGTTTGCTCATAAACACAATATTTAATTATTTAATCCTTTTTTTATCGTCAAACAGATTTCAGAAGTTCGTGATTAGGATAAGTGAATTCGTTTTGTTATTAAGTTAGCTAGTATTTTGTTTAAATTATTTTTTTTCACCGTACAATTTCTTTCAATTAAAAAATTTTATATCCTTATCGTGATCCCTTTAATCACAAAAAAATCAGTTGGTTTCGTGGTGGAGACGTTTTAGGATGGGGCATATTTACTAGGGCTACAGACGATAAGCTCAACTATTTTTTTTAACTCAAGTAAACTTAATTTTTTTGAGATGGTCAGATTACATTATAGCTTACCAACTCTTCCGTTGAATAAAACTGAGTATAATTTTTATAATCAAATGAGAATTAAAACTTTTGGCCTTTAACGTCACCTCACCTACTTTGGGCCACTTTTCTATAACGATTTAATCTGCTTTTATTTAGTGAGTTTTAAAATTGTTAAGCAATTTTATTGGACAGAAAAAAATTTGGATTTGCAAAATTGGTTGTTTGATTCCGTTTCAGCAGAGGGAAATGACACACTTTAATCAATGAGGTACTATTTGCAATCTTTTTTTTTTTTTTTTTTTTTTTTTTTTTTTTTTTTTTTTTTAAGTAATTTTGCATTTTTTGGTACAGAATAAGTAAAAACAAACCATAGGAACATGAGTTGTAAATCATACGAAAATCCAAATGAAATAAAGAGATAAAAAGAAGAGCATGATAGGTCTGCTATCACAAGTGACAGACAGCTTCTGGCGTTGCACACTAAACTGAAACATTTCACAAGCAGATACAAATAATAATAAATACGCTTACATAAACAACTCCGATGAATCTCAAAATATCAGTACCTTACAGTTCAGCAGATAGTGTAGTCGCAAAAAAGTGTAGCTGCAAATAACAAGCAGCCAATAAATGATGATTCAGTTCGTTGATGCAAAATTTGTGTTAGTGAGTGCAGTTTTTGTAGCAATATACTTTTATTTAAAGTTTTTTTTTTACAACTACTGGAAAAAAAATAAAATTCCTCATGAAAGCCCATCCGTACCTTTTGGCAACATTCCCTTTACATACTTTTTTGCATCGATACCCTTAGGTTGGTAAATGTGTATATGATTGTCACAAAGTTATTTTAATTTTTTTAAGAGAAAAATAACATTTCTTCTCTCTAAAATGGATCTCTATTTAAAAATCTTATAAAAATTGATTTTTTTAGGTGTCCTCGTTAAAAAATGTTACGAAAAATTCTGCCACCATCCATTTTTTGGCATGTATGTTTTTCATAGGCCAGTTATAGTAATAAATGATCCAGAACTTATTCGAACAATATTAGTCAAAGAATTTTCAAAATTTCAAAATCGCGGTTGGTTAACGGATAAAAAAGTTGATCCTATGATAGCGTTTTCATTTCTTCAATCTTATGAAGATTGGAAAAATGTAAGGAAAATATTTTCACCAACTTTCTCTCCCAGTAAACTAAAGCAAATTCATCCTTTGATGGCAGAAGTCAGTGACGCTATGATCAGAGTTTGTGACAATGAGTTGAAAAATTCAGATGTCTTGGAAATGAAGGAAATTATATCAAGGTATGTTTCTAATAAACATTTAGGGCATTTTATTTTATGTGTAGTATTAACTTCGATTTGTTGGACAGATATGCATCGGACATTATATCATATACAGTATATGGTTACAATTATAATAGCTTAGAAAATCCAAATAATGATTTTCATCGTTTAGGAAAAAGAGCTTTAAAATTAGGCAGAATAAATATGCTAATGACTATATTTTGGCCGGAAATTCCACAATTGATGTCCATCTCACTTTTTCCTAAGGAAATAAGCAATTTCTTTGGAAGAATTTTCACGGAAACAGTTAATTATCGTCGCAATGAAAAGATAGTGAGGAAAGATTTTTTAAACCTTTTGATGCATTTAATGGATGATAACAACGTCCAAGATAACAAAACGTCGACTGATGATAAAAAAAAAGGTATTGTACAGTATGATGTGACGAGATTGTTTTTGTGCCAACGGTATTTGCAGCATATAGATTAATTGATTTTTCAAGACGACGATCATCTAAGCCTGGAAGATGCTGCCGCACAAGCTTTCTCATTTTTTCTGGCAGGTTTAGAGACGACAACATCGGTAGTAACTATCTGCCTATTGGAATTGGCGTTGAATCCTGAAATACAGAAAAAGTTACAGCAAGAAATTGACAACACGTTCGTTGCCAACCATTTGGATGGGTTGACGTATGATTGTGTCTCAGAAATGAAGTACTTGGATATGGTATTTAATGGTAAAAGTTTATTTGTAATAAAATTATTTCATTCTGATTTTTTGACATAAAAAATAAGGTAGCTTTAATTTTGAAAATGATGTATTCAGAAACCTTAAGAAAGCATCCACCGTTTGTTTTGTTGAATCGCATTTGTAATGAGAATTTCTTGATTCCTGGCTCAAATTTTACCATTCCTAAGGGAATGCGAGTATTGATTACATCACCAGGAATACATAACAATCCAGAATACTATCCAAATCCATGTGTATTTGATCCCACTCGGTTTACAAAGGAAAATTCGGCTTCGAGACATCCATACGTTCATTTAGGATTTGGGGAAGGACCACGAAATTGTTTAGGTAAAACTAAAAAATGTTAAGGATTCTTATATTGATGAAGTGACAGAAATTTTTTTTGTTCATGTCCGTTAAATATTTTTAGGACAAAGATTTGGCACGATCCAAGCAAAACAAGCACTTGTAGCACTTTTACGGAACTATACTTTTCGTATTTCTGATAAAACTGAGCTTCCATTCAAATGGAATACTGAACGTTTTATCCTGTGGCCCGCAAACGGTATGAATTTGTGTATTGAGAAAAGGCATTGATAAGGATTTATAAACATTTTTTTAACTACAGTGTAATATATGTTATAATTTTTTTTTTTATTAATTATTTAAAGTTGATATCGTTATTGCTGCAATAGAACATACATTTAAGAGGTTTTTGAATTTTAAACTATACGTACGTGGTTCTTGTAATGATGTTTGTCTCAACTAGTACTGAAGAAATACTTTTCGTATTCAACTAGAAAGACTCATTGTTATTTTATTTTGTTCTGATGTAGTGAAATTTACATTTACACCCAAGAATGTTGTCAATGAGACAAAACAAATGAAAATATATTTTTTATGCACCTATTTTTGTAATTCTCAGCGAATGTTTCACTTACTCTCTGAAGTAAACAATTTTAATTAATTAATTATTTGCACTAAGTGAGTGAAGTAGCATTATACTTTGTGTTCCGTAAACGAACGAGCGCAAACAACGTGAATTTGTCGTCCTACAACAGTGCACTGTCTTTACTGCCCGGCGATTCTCGTTCGTTCCCCGAGTCTCCTATTTTTTTTGTCTTCCTTCGAGCTCTATATATCATCGTTGAGTATCCATCGGCAGATACGGAGCTTCCGACTCGTTACTCCGTCTATAGTGAAGATAGAGATAGGAACGAGGTCGTAAGCATACAGCTGCTGGACTCCATGTGTACACGCAGCGATGGAGTAACGGGCGTTTGTCCGTCCGCGTGTGCGAGTCTATAGTAACTCGGCACTTTGAGCAACGTCGTTATAACGACATCGATTGCTCAGAGCTCAGAGTGTGCACCCATACATTTATACGTTCTTCTTCTTCTTCTTCTTCTTCTTCTCTCTCTAGTGTCCGGTCGATAATGAATCTCGAGCTTTTACGTCTCTTTTTTCCTCCCCGAGATGTTTTTCGTATTCCATCAGGTTTGTGGAAGTAATTCGAACGGCCGTGAAGCGCATCGAAGGAAATGAATGGACGAAGGCAGGACGTTTTTCAGGATCAGCACTGATGGACGCTAACTTTTTTCGATCGCCCTGACGTATGGCGGCGCTGCGCCGTTTGAGGCGACTGGTCTCTATTTGTTGCGACCCTTGCACTGGCAATCTCGTTTAGCGAACAATACACCGTCGATCATCGAGCGATTCAAATTTGGAGGTGTTCAACTACCCCCCAGTGCTGTCTCTCGCGAGGCGCCGCAATGTCTCGGGGAAGGAGGAATCAGGAGAGAGAAAATAGAGCTGGGGCATTTGTACCCGTCGACAGGCAGCTGTTGTCTTGCTTTTGGCCGAGGCTCGTCTGTCCTCGCTCTTGGATGTAACTAGTGTATACGGATAATAGCTCCAAGTGCGCATCTTCAGAGTGTTTATGCTGCTGTACTATCTACCGTCTGCTCACCACGTGTCTGTAGCTATATACGTCGTTGTATTACGCAGGGGTTCATGAAATGTTGCTTATATTCTCCGTACCTGTACGAATAGTCGTTCAATGAGTTTTTGTCATTTTAGGCTTGCTTGAAGCAATTTTCGTGATGGCTGTGGCTTGTGATTCCTTTCGACATTAATAAAACTTGGTACAGGAATGCTCGATTCTAATGGTCTTTCGAATGCATTGGCATGATTATTCGATGGCAATTTGTTCGTGGAAACTCATCGCCAAGGATGGCTCTCGTGGAATTGCTGTCTAGAATGTATTGAAATATTTTTCTATGCCCAGATGTTGAGAAATTAAAGTTCAATGAATCGTCACTCTCTGTGAGATATTGTTTATTTAAGAACATTTATATAGTTTTTGTGCTGCAAAGTTTTAAGAAATTGTCGTGTACGCCGAAAATCGAACGATTGGCAGTTGGGGTAGGGAGACATAGAGCAGTATCAAAAATGTAAAAGAAACAGGGTGAATTGTTAAGATATTTTCGCTCGAGGCTGCGATGTGATCGAGGGATTCAACGTGGCAGTCATGAATAAGAAATTTCATTTGGTTTTCAACCAACGCTCAGACTTACACGTTGCATCGGTTCTGTATGAATTTTGCCACTACTATGATGATTCGGAAATCTTGCAGATTGCTTTTCGGAGTTCGATTACACTTGCAAACAATTCATCGGGTGTAAGCTTATTATTATCTCCTCTGCAGCCCTGTCATTCAAGTACTGGTTTCGCGAACTGAATTTACATTTATACTGACAAGCTGATGTAACTAGAAAAGAGTGCTGGAGGCAATAGCAAGAAGTAAGAAACGGAATACCAATGTGAGCTGAATAAATTTGTAATTTTTTGTTTTGATCAACGTCTTTTTTTTTGTAGACTTGTTTAATCTTATTTGTTTATTTATTTATTTTTGTAACTCATTCAATATACGAGTTTCTTGCAAATTAATTTCCAAACCATGGACTTCATTTGATTCTTGTATTCTATATAATTGATTGGTGCTTTAATTTTCAGGTATCTGTGACTTCCATTAAAAAATATCAGTTTACTTGAACAAAAATATTTAAAACTGATCGTATGAGAGAATACCATTTCCGTCTCCTGATTCACAACTAAATCGAATTCTAACACGTGACCACACGATCAGCTCATCTGAAGCACATAAGAATCATAAGACCGTATTATTAAAATCTCTCATTCCATCCCATCAGACGAATGTCGCATTGTTTTGGTCTCGACATAATAACTTTGCTCTATAGTACGGCTTATTCAAAAGATAAGTCACACTCTCCCGACACCCCACTTATCATCGCTGTCCCCGTATTTTTCAAAATAGAGCCAGCAAGAAGTATAATACTTGTAACATTCATTTCAAGCTCACCTTTGCGGAATGATAAGGGAGTCGAGGAGCATGAAGGGACGCCCAGAAGGCAAGAGGAAGAAGAAGAAACGAAAGAATCATCTCGAGGATTCCCTTGAAATGATAAAAATTCAGGGCAAGACTCATCGGATCGCTCTGAGCGATTAGGTAAATGCCGGGTTGCGAGCGACTCGAGCGTGAACACCGCGCATCGTGGGGTGTATAAAAGCACACAAACATATACATACATGTACATACAAACGTACAGGACCTCGAAGGCCTTGGCTTGCTTTTCCCCCTCGTCTACTTTGAGCGCTTAGATCATAGCGAGAAATAGAGTTAGAAACGTAGTTACGCGCCCGTTTCATCTCCCCCAGGGATTCTTAAGTCTCTCGTGCAAGTAATTTTGCAGCAGAATTGCATTACACGCTCCAAGGAGGAGGGAACGGAGAAGGGGAGATGAGAAAAGGGTCGATATATGCGTGCCTTGAAAATGCGAGGAGGCATGGAACGAGGGAAAAAGTAAGGGCAGATGAGATGACGATTGGCGTTTATTTCGACGGATTTTTCAAAATTTTGTTCTTTTTTTTTCATACCGTAGATGTGATTTATGCTATTGGATTGCGACTGAATACGTGAAGTGCGAGACAAGGGGTGATTTTTTTTTTTTTTTTTTTGATACAGAGCTCGTGTGTGGGAGTGGTATGTTTTTATAGGATTCATTTATTTTGTGCTTTTGTGTTTTTGTATCTAGAGACTACAAATTTTCACGTTTTAATAAAATAAATTATTCAGACATAATTTTATTTCAAATTCAATATCAAATTATTTTTAACTGAATAAATAGAAAATTTCAATTGTAATGTAGGAGAAATACGAGAAATACGAGCAGTTTTGATAATTAAGACAGAACTTACGTAGTGCTTATAATTTTACATGAAGAATTTTTATCACCCAGTAACGAGCTTGTTTCGCAGTATTCAATTTCAACGTCCGCTAAAGGTAAAATTATTAGGTAAAGTATTAAGCGAATTCAGAAAAGTACGTTTAAAAAATGAAAAATTGTCAAGCACCAGTCCATGAATAATTATAACTCCTCTCTCTCTCTGCTCCGCTCCATCTTTTTAATTAAATATTTTAAATCTTTTTATCCGTAATAACTTCATTATACATTTAAGACCATCCATCAAAGAGCACAGCTCAAATCTAATTTTTTTATTCAAGAAAATAAAAGTGAAAAAATAATACCGTCCGATATTCTTTTTTATATCGTCCCACATATTAAGTGTTAAGAAGAAACAAAAAAAAATTTTTTTTTTTCAAAAGGAGCTGTAGTTACCAATAGCGTTTGAAAGTTCCGAGCGACAGGCACGCAAAGGACGCGAAATTACTTGCGAAACATGCGCGTCGTCGTCGCGTCGCTCAGTAACCCTCGGCCAAAGTTTCGTTAGCCAGTCGCCACCCACTGCACAGTTACGCAGACAGGCATACCTACCTAGACAGTACAGGCACTTGCACATACTCCCCGAGGTGGATGGGGAGGAACGGCGAAGCAACACGTTGCAAGCAAAACTTGTTCTATTTATCACGGTTAAAGGGTTAGCCCGAGTAAGTATAGACTAAGCCAGCATTGGGCGGGTCCGGCGCACGCCAACAGTCCCCGAGTACAACTGTGTGGAAAGCCCGCGGAGGAACTGTTCGTTCGGTTTGTCTTGTCACTGTACCCTCAACTCGCGCAATTAGTGGTAACGTTGTCGTTGCTACTGTAGCCATACAGTCTGAGCTGAATTATCGAAACTGCTTTGCAATTAGTCAGTTTTTCCGCTTGCGCGTACTTGTTGTTAAATTGTTCTCAAGTACCGAGTGTTGGTGCCCTACATTTGAGTTTAACCAAACGCACGCGAGCAATTGTTACATTATACGGCTAATTGACAAGATCAATGTTATATCACCATTGATCCAATGTAGTCGGAGTATACGTGGCACACGTGTAGTTTAAATTTATTGGCGGTGGTGTTGACCAGTTCTACAGCAATTTTCGTTTTTGTGTTTCAAAGATTGGTCTTGAGGTGGTGTCAGTAAGTTTTTTCGTACGTGAAAATCCGCAGCAACGAGCCAAACAAAAAATCAGGACTTTGAAAAAAATAAAATAAGTTTATCGTGAAACTAGGCAAACACACCATGCACATATTTATGTGTGGGCA